TGCTTTGTCTTTGGGGAAATCACACTGTTGTAAAGGAACCTGAGGAATGCAGTTGTATGCATTCTATGCTCCCCCTTCACCCCAAATAGGATGTGTGTAGGATCAGTCTGCCCAGTCACACTGTCCTATTATAAATGGATAACCACAGTTCATCTCCAGTCAAGCACAAGTCTACAACACTGGAACACAGAGAGCAGCTGTGGACTGAAGCAGGCCATTGGTGCACTTAGCCCAGGAGGGTCCACTCTGACAGGCCTGTTACTGGCACAGTCTTGGGTCTTCTGCATGTCAAGCACGTGATATGCACTACCATCAGGCAACAACTCCTCCTATTAAGCAACCAGCTGATGAAGCACGAGCACTAACCAAGCCATTTGCAGGTCATGCTAGCAGGCATTCCCATAATGCAGCAGCAGGTCTTCCTCCTCCTCCAACATTCCCCCTGCAAACTGTCAGGGAGCCGAGTCTAGAACAGTGATGCCTACTATTAATGTGGTTGCCTTAGATTCCGTACTTTGAAGTGGATATTCAAATGAACAGCATCTTAATAATGTGTGTGTGTTTAAAAAAATCCATCAAATTCAAATTTCACAAAAGTGTAGTACATGTGAAAGATGTCCTCATTTTTAAAGCCTTAGGTTCAAAAATGTTGGCAAATTTGAAAATTCTGCAAAAAAAAATCTGTTTGACTTCCTGTATAGAACAAATAGAGAAGTTACAAAGCCTGTTTTGAATCCCTCTTAAGTTAGAGGGAGATTGAACACCATGACTGACAACTCATCCCCATTATCCTACATTTTTCAGTGATCCAAATCAGCACTTCTTATAAAAACGCAAGCTAAGACATGTGCTTGTTACCAAGCCAAATACGTAGGTAGGAGATACTGGGAATTAGAAATCACACTGTCTAAAGACAGGGTGTAGCATCACTGTCCATCCAGTATGGCCCAAGATCAAGTCCATGATACTCCCTCTAAGGAAAAGGAGGGAAACAGGCTGTGCATTAAATTGCTGTTGTCAGTTCCTCCCTCACACAGCCTGTAATTTTTGCATGTGCACCTGCCAGTGTTGTGATAATAGGCATATAGCAACGCATGTCAGCAATTTTAAAAGCTTCCCACACAAAAGAGAACTTGCCGAGTGGCAAAGCACAAGATACAAGGGAGGACAAAGACCTCAGGGATGCTGCTGGCCGCAGGTATGCAGCAGGCAGTTGAGCGTGGAGTTGGCAATGTCAGTAGGAAAGACGAATGCCAGTCAAGGCTTAGAAGATCCAGAATGGGGTCACGGTCCTTCAAGGGCCATCAATATACTCAGGATGGGCTGGAGTGTAGTGCAGAGGAGTGAAGTAACAACTTTGGGAAAGAGGTACATATTTGGGAAAAGTGTTCCTTTAAAAAGGCCAGGAATGTAATTGAGCTGGAGGCAAGTTCCATACAGAAATATTTATTTGGAAAGTATGGCAAGTGATTTAAAATAGCAGCCGGAGCAAAGAAGAGATCCGACACTGCGAGTGCATCTGATGAAGTGTGTTACAGTCCTCCAAAGCACGTGCCAGAATCAATGTGCTCGTCCTTAAGATGCCACAAGACTCGGGGTGGGTTCACACAACATGGTAAGCAGCCCTGTGCCGTTTCCACAGCCAGATGATCAGGTGTTTATCCAGGCTGCCCTCCTTGCTCCATCCTCCTGGCCTTGCCACACACCCCAGCAGCCCCCATGAGCAAAGCCCCCCTCCTTTACCCTTGCCTATGGACTGCAGCGGCTGCCTCCTCCTCCTGCCTCCTCCTCCGGACTGGTTTGCTGCAGCCCTGAGGCAGGTTCTCCCTTCCCAGTCCCAAGTGTACCTGCAGGTCAGCAGCACTTCCCAGTCTCTACAGCCCCCACAGAGATTTTTATCAAATGAAAATAAACTATTTTGTCATGATTGCCCCCTTGCCCTCTGTGTTTTGCAGTGTTTCCATTTCCAAAAGTCGCCAGGGGGATAGACACATCATTTGGCCAACGGGAATAATGTGGGCAATGATGGGTCTGTTGCTAAGGAGCTGAGGGCCACAGAGATCAAGGCCAGAAGGAGCAATTTTCACAGCCACTCTTGCTAAGGGACTTATGGTGCTTCCACCCCTACAATGGTAAAATGGTGGTGCAGGGTATGGATTACTGAAAAAGCCACAGTGAAGCAGGGAGATCTTAAAACAAACTGATTTTCCCCATGGTTTCAGACAACTAATCCTGCCATGTAGAAACTCTGGGACCGAGTCTGTACAACACAGCCGACCCACAATGGTAAGTTTTCCCCATGGCTCCTCATGTTGTGCAAACCTGTCCCCTCTGCTGTTTCATTGTAATAGGTAACATGGTTACCCTCTGGACATAGTAAGAACTCCTTTCCTTTGCCCACATCTTCAGCAGCACCAGATCTATCTTAATTATCTGCATTATCACTGAACGTTGACAGGTTGCTTATTTGCCTCTGAGAGTTTGGGGTTCTTTTTGTGTGTTATGATGGATAGTTTAAATTACATGTTGCAAGCAATCTTGGAGACCTACATCTGGTTGATAAACGCAGCTTAAATACATAGATAATTAATTCACAATTCTAGCAGAATCTGTTCTACCTACTTTTGTGAAATTGCTCCCTGCACAATATAACATGGCACTTTAGAGGGATCCAAGATTACACAGCCCCATAAGGTCTTGACTATGCTAGTTCCAGGGCTTTAACTGCCACCTTGGAAGCCACACTGCTTCCTCTGGAAAGCACACTAGCAATGCTCCTTCTCCAGTCAATATAACACAAATAAAGAATTACAGCACATATGCACACTACAGTGTGTTGGTATCGGAAGATTCTGAGAAGCCTTCTCAGATCAGTCGTTACTTATGCTTTTATAGTTACTGAAGTGGTCAGACAGAAATAGCCAAAAGATTTTGGGCTGGTTCACATCGCAATTACACCTGAGGATCAGGCATTACGTGGCTTGCTATAGCATGTTCCCCTAGTCATCCGCCTTCCCCGCTATGGCACATAGCCCATGGGCCATTGCAGTACAACCCCACTCCTATCTTCATCTCTAGAGAGGAAACATATTTCATTTTCTGTCACTTGGAAGTGCACAAATTCACCTGCCGGCTTTTTACATTCTTTAGCAGTACAGATCAGTATCCCCTCTGTACAGCTTGAAATGCCTCTAGTCAATGTTATTCTCTCATGCTTTATGTCTTCAACTGACAACTTTGCTTGTCAGTCCCTTCCTCTACTTTAGTGCTCCCCTTGACCCTGAACTCTGAAAGTTGCTGCAGGACCATGAACTTACTGCAGCAGTTTGGGTGATCTTATCATGAAAATGGGTTAATTTGTGTGCGCACACTTCTGAAGGACAGTACAAAACACACATTCCTTGTGTAACTACACATTCCACTTTGACACTTGGCAGCTTTCAGTGCTTGCTGTCAAGGGATGTGTCAAAGCAGAATAGGTAACTTACAAGAAAACTGACAACTGTACTATTATGGACTATAAATCACAGACAGGTGAATCTATATAATTGCACACCTGCAATGAACCAAACCAGGATAGAAAAAAACATTATGAATGCATTTGCATACTTCTGAAGCATCAAAAATGATAACTTACAAGTGAGTCACAGTCCTTCCGAAGTACCATTTTGATATTGTTGGGGAGCAGCATAGTCTTTTTGGCAGGTGGCTCTGTGGCTCATGCCGAGAAGCTGCTGACCACACACTGGCTGGTTTTGGATGTCAGATGAGCCACCTGGAGAGCAAGCAACTCTCAGCTGCCAAACAAGAAGTCATGTGTTCTCAGGGTGTCCGTTGCATCGTTCAGCCATGATGAATTGTCCATGCCAGCCTCAACTGCATTCACAGATCACAGTAGAAAAGACTGTGTCGTTCTCACAATGCATAGATTTTTTTCACCAACCTTACTGGTCAGACAATCACATGGGTCCCTGAGCAACACAGTCCCCCCCACCCCACCCCACACACACACACTATTGCTTCCTATGGACCTCAGCAGACTTGTCTTCACTGGTCCATTAAGGTTTTGAGTAACATTCTCCATCTTCTCCCTTCCAAGTCTGCCTGCATCTTTGCAATGCTTTGTACTTTGTAGTCACTCGAGACCCCAAAGGACTTTTTAAATAAAATATAACATTTGTGCTGCAATTCCCCCTTCTCCCTCCAAAAGTAAACAGGGAAACGGACACATCATCTGATCAACAGGAATAAAGCAGGTGATGTTGTGTGTATTGCTAGGAAGCCGAGTATAGTAGAGAATGGACAGCTAGGCAACCACTTCTACAGCTGGGCTTTCCACAGGACTATGGTGTTCCCATATGAACAATGGTAAATTGAGATCTTGGTCCAGATGACCAGAGATGACACAGTAATGCATGGAAACGTTAGAAAAGACCATTGATTCCCTCTGTGGATTCAGGGAACTAAAGGCACCAAACAGAAATGCCACAACTGGGTCCAGATGACACAACAGACCAACAAGAATAAGAAATCTCCATGGCTCTCATGATGTGTGAACCTGGCCATCAGGGTAAGACACATGGACACAAACTCACCAGTGGTTTATCATATCATGCAAACCCACAACTACCAGACAAGAGCTGGTGTAGGCACCCCATTCTATCACACTGAGCTGCATTCCAATGGTTTAAACTCTCTTGGTTATTTGTGTAAATTTAGAAGATGTAAATGGAGGGGAAATTTCCAAAATTCTCACAGCACGGCAGAAAAACAGAACATTTTCTCTCAATTGCCCACCCCTTGCCCTAGCAGTAATTCCACCCAACACACTGGGGTGCCATTTGCTTTGCCTCATGTAGCTTCCTTCTAAGGAGAAGGTGGGAGCGGGAGGCAATACTAACCGAAGATTAGAAAGTTGGGGAAGAGAGAAAGGTTGGTGTTGTGTGGCCAGATGTAAGCAGTGATATACCTGTGCAGGTGAGGTAACCTAGGACTCCATGTGAACAATGGAATTTCATTTTATTAACTTGTGTGACACACTGCAATGGCAGTTCAAGGCTAGTAATGGGATATTGAAAATGTCACAACTAGGCACAAGAAGCCAAGACACTGAACCCCCATCTACAAGCTGTCTCCTCAAGCCAAATATACTCAGACTAAGAATATGACCAATATCCATGGGAAGGTGAATTCTGTAAAAGTGGAGCAACTAACTGAGAGTATTTTTCACATGCCCCCCCTCCCCCCCCAGCAACCAGGAGGGCCTTCTCTGCTATGCTGAGGAATGTTTTGTGGCAAATACAGAGGTGGCCCCTCAAGTTTGCTGAGCATTCTAAGAAGCCACTGTCTGAGACTAGGACCTTGCCTTATACCTGTAAGGAATTAGGGTTGACCCTGGAGCATGTATGAAAACTGTGCAGAAATAAACAGAACCAGAAGGTTAAAGTAGTTTCATCACAATCCTGACACTGGCACCTGCACATTCGGAACCATGTGCCTTAAACTGTGGGAGACAAAACCCTATGGAAGTCATGATAACATTAGCTCAAGTCCAGGAACATTTTATTTCTCTGGAATGGAAACAACTCACCAGCCTGAGAAAAAACTGCAGGTGGCAATTGTACATTCTCTCTCTCTCTCTCTTTCTCTCTCTGTTTTGTTTTTTTTAAGGAAAGCAAGTGTTTGGTTTCATAAATTTCTGTCATAAGAAACAATTTCAAAAATTTGTACACCAAGCTTTTTACAAAGCATCAATGTTAAGAAGGTTTCACCGGCTTCTACCACGCTGTTGTCCATTTATACCATGCAAAATGCTACATCTGCTTAACACATTTTAAAACATTAGTATTACAAAGATACAAAGGTTCATCAGTTGCCTGATATTTTTAAGACATGAAGATTGTGATGCATTTCTTTTTAATTGTTCCCCACCCCCTAAGGAAGTTACAAAAATAATTTAGTTCACATGGACAAGGTGTGGGATTCCATTCCAGCCTTAGATCCTTAACTCGTACCTTAGATACTTCTGCTAGTGTGACACTGGCCACAAGGACTGGCGTGTGTGGTTCCTGTACTGGTAAGATCACAGAGTTAGAAGGTACCTCAAGGGTTCCTGAGTCTAGTCTCTGGTAGCAACAGGAGTCCCTAGACTTAAACCCTGCCTGATAGAAGCTAATCCAGTCTCCTCTGATGAATCTCCAAAGTAGAAAAATCTTTCATTCTGGCATCAGGTTGTTCCACTCTCTGTTATTAGTTCCACTTAGATCAAGGCATCTGCAGCAACTAAAAATTATTTCTGGCTGAGTGATCTACCGATGAAGAATGCAGTTTCAGTCTGGGCCGATTTCACATGGATTCATCCCTTTGTCCTTGGCCTCTTTATACATCCTTTGGAAGTCTTTGAAACGAGGAGCACAGCCTAGCCTGGCCTCCCCAAAGTGCATGCGGCCTGTGAAGAGGAACTCTCCTTCCCCTGGTTTCACCCCACACTGGAGAAGGGTCTTGATCGGTCCGTGCCAGTTACCATTCTCCTCTGCCGGTTTGAAGTTCTTTGTCTTCTGCCTGTAGATTCTATTCGCGCTCACTTCAATGATGGAATCTTGCTCTTCTTCCTTATTAATTACATTTTGGATCGTACCTCTGACAACTGGTGGGGGAAAACATATATACAATTAGATTGAGGGATTATAAAGGCATATACTTTCATGGTACACACAGACACGAAGTGCAATTTTAATGTCAATGGATTCCTTGATAATGAATATTTAGGGCTGCTGATTCAATGTCATTTCAGAAGAAGAAAATAATGGCAACCTAGATTCTAAAATTCAACAGGAATTGAATTCTCATTGTATGTTTTGATTATTTTCATTGTATTTTTTTTTTTTTTTTTGGTTTTGGTTTTTTTTCCAATTTGTATCCTGCCTTTTTCCTACAAAGGGCTCAAGGCAGCTTACATCATTCTCCTCCTCCATCTTATCCCCACAACAACAACCCTGTGAGGTAGGTTGGCCTGAGAGGCTGTGACTGGCCCAAAGTCACGCAGTTGGCTCCATGGCCGAGTGGGGACTCAAACCCGGATCGCCTGAGTCCCAGTCCCATGCTCTTAACCACTGCACCACACTGGCTCTCAGTATGTTACTGAACTGTTGTAAGATTTCTATGTGTTTAGGATTTGATTTATGATATGATGCCAAACTTGTCTTTTAATAAGTTGCTTGTGATACAGCATCAAAATATATCAAACATAGCAAATGTTTTGCAGTGCTTAAATAAATAGCTCTATTAGCTTTTTTTCAGGTTTATCTCATTGTTTTTGGCCAGTGACATCCTGGGTCACAATGAAGAGCAATCACTTTTTTAAATGATCAAAGCCCACAGTGTCATTTCATAATCAGAATTTAGAGTAGTCTATTTTAAACTCAGATCCCAAAACAAAGCAAACCAAAACATGAACTTAAATTATGAACTAACTTCATGAGTTTCAGAAGAAGTAAGCTGCAGAAGATGCATCATGATCACCATTTTTAATAACCTAATGAATTGTTCGGGAATTTTTCTGGCCCTTTTTAGAACCTAGAAATCCCGTGGCCACATAAGACAAGTACATAGGTGAGGTTGGTCTGTCGTTATGGGTAGTTCAAATTACTTTCCCCATACAACTCAGAACTAGCGTAAGAACGAGATACATACTGAGAATATATATATATATATATATATATATATATATATTAATTTTCACCCAGTAGGGTTACCATGGCAACTCATGGATTATTCATATATACTAATGGAAGTTTATCTGCTAAAACCCTATAATTATAACCTTATTGTTTATGAAACATGGGAGCTCTAGTCCTCCGTATATTTGGTCCTCAACTGTACTCCCAATTACTGAAGGCTTCTTCCTGCTACAAAAAAACTACAAAATGGATTTCCTTCTTTTGCATAGCACTAGGAATTCATTCTACAAAAGGAACATCAAATAGAGTAAGCATTGTCAATATAATTAGATGCCCACACCAAATCTCAGAAGTGACATTTTGATCACATTCTATTAATGGCTCAGTAATACTTAACTTGAATTCCATGGCACTCTGCCACAGAGAAACACTCACAGCAAGTCAGCACCTGTCTGGATAACATTTTCCATCAATACAAACCTAGTCCAATCCCACTGCAATTACTGTATGTTGTGTCCTCTTGCCCATTATGTTCACAATAACAGTAGACTGTATTTATATCTGTAGCAAATGTCCAAGATCAGACATGCCCAGCTGTTTCATTACAACATTTACTTGACATTCCAAGCGTGGGAAAATTGCTTTAATGCTGTTTAACCATCACGGAGAGGTAAACAGTTACCCCACAAGTGACACTGGGCAAAGCCACTTGTCTCTTTGGGGGAGGCAGAACAGAAAAGGGTACCTTTTATTTCCTTAGCTATAAGTGGGTTTTGTTTTGTAAGTTTGAAAATGTCAGACTTCCACTCTTTCTGGCAAAAGATGTTCAGAGCAAAATAAAATTAAAGAGCTCACAGGACCCTGCTTGCTCTTTCACTTTGAACCCAATTAGGATCACGTCCACCCATGGCTCTATAGGACAACTCCAGTAGATGCATAAAGAACTGAGGCTTTTTAATGGCTCATGGCTCAAAGATAATTGTCTGAATGGCTTTCCACTTTTCTGAATCCAGTTTTTAGCCCACACAGTAGTCTTCCATGATGTGGAAAGGTAATCTTAATGTGGAACTAGCCTGTGATCAATAGCTCAGTTTGGTAAATCAATTTAAATTGCAACAGCAGAAGGATCAAAAATTTACCCTACTCCTAACAAAGCATCCATCTCATACTTCATTGTACTTTGTGCACATATCCTCTATGTTCTTCTCAAACACAAAGTCTTATAGGGTGGTAAAAACTTTACTCAACCTGCACAATAGTGGGATTATATGTACAACTCCCCCCCCCTTTAAAAACAACAACAACTTTAGATGAAGACAGGCTTTTTTGAATTGAGGCTTTGCTCAAGGGTCTATTTAGGAACATCAAGAGGATAATTCCTTACTGCTTGCCCTTAAAAACCTTTGAACTTCTACCTCTATTATTGCCGCCTGCCTCTCTTTGTCCATTGGAAAAAAGAGTTGTCAAATACAATGGCTTTAATTGAAGCTCTTCAGAGCTAAAACCCATAAAGACTTTTCCTCCCTTGTTCCCTTTGTACTTCTGGACACACTTTGTTTACTCCAAAACGGGGAGAAAAGGACTCCCTTGTTTGTTGCAATCTGGGCCTTTCAGTTTGTTCACTGTTTACTGAAGTTTCTGCAGGCCAAATCTAGCAGATTATAATAAAAGGGGAAGAACGGAGTTTTACAGAGTGACAGAGTACACAGCAGTAGCAGAGAACTTACCAAAGTCACTAGTGCAGACAGCCAACAGCACTTCTGTGTCACTGCAAGGTCGACAGGGAGCTGCGGAAGAAGAATGACATTTCAGTGTCGCACCAATGTAAATGACACATACATTTTTACCCAGAAAGGCACATGCCCCACTTTAAGGGTTAAAGCTGAAAACTGCTGAAAACTGTAGGAAGATAGCAAGTTCACATGCTCAGACTGGCATTCTCCAAAAAGGCTTTCCATCCTTTACATGCTGAACATACAACTGTAATCTTCGTATTTCTTCACACATATGTGGATACAAACTTACATGGGAGAAAACCCACTGAAAACGTGAAAAATCAACCCTTAATTACTGTGGTGACTTTTTGGATCAAACACAAATGCCCTGTAAAACAGTTTAGAAAATGAAGCTATAGTCTATTTTAAAAATCCACATAGAGGAGTCCTGTGTAGTTGGGCTGATTCATTAGTCTAAAAAATGGATTGAAGCATGTTACAAGAAACAAGAGTCAAAACATGTGTTGGAGGACAGGAAGATCAAGTGGAAACTCAAGGCCAGATCTGTTACAATTACAAGAACTGGGCTGGCTGGAAACAGTAGAGAGACCTTAGGCTAATCTAATCAAAGCAAGAATGTAGCTGTTCTTTGTACTGGGCCAGCTACTTCTGCTGAGAAGGTAGTGCTGTTAGAAGTGCAGATGTTTCCATAATACCCCATTCAGTTAAGGAATTTATTTTCTCTCAGAGGTCTGCCCTATCTAGCAACATGCTAATTAAATCTAACCACTGAAGAGCCAGCCTTTGGGAGTGGGTGCGGGGGAGAAGAGATCACAACTTTCTTTCTCATACCAACCATCCTTTCTGAAACTGAAAATCCATTAAATGTGCCAAGCACCTAATGCTAATCTCAGTGGTGCCTACAATAAGGGAGAAATATTAAAGCCCTTAGTGGGGAGTGAGAGAACTGGAAAACTCATAATATATACCCCTAGTCCCCACATCACAAACTACAGCATTTACTTTAAAAAAATGTGCAAGCAGCCAATTCACTGAATACAGCAGTAGCAGCTTCTATGGACTCATTTTATCCTGTGAGTTGCTAAGCTAACTCAAGGGGCTCTTACAAGGATGACCTTTCACTCCAGAGAGTAACATCTGTCTAGAGACCAGTGCAGAAAACCCTTAACGGCTTAGCTGGTGTCTACAGTAGTTTATGTTTGCTTCAATTCAGATGGCATCTTTAGATACCTTCTGTACCATTAGATATGAAAATCCATATACTGATCCCACGTCATTTTCCAATCCATGCAATTGTACCAAATCAGATAATATATATTCAGTTCATTAATTCATGTAATAGGATTCTCATCAAAGGAGGTGTGTGTGGGGGGGGGGCGGGATTGACAGAAGCCTATTTCCGAAAAAGAGAAATCTGAATGGGAAAACTTGCCATGGTTCAGTGCAATGCTAATTTCCTGATTGGCATAAGGAATTAATAAGGAAACCACATCCTGAATGCATGGGTGGAGGGTCCTGCATATATATTTGAAAACACACACATACAACATCACATCACTTTCTGTGGCTCTTGAAGGATGGATTTAGACAATACAAGGAGATACTTAGAAGTCTGAGAGATTTATGTCCCGTCCCATCCCGTCCCCCCAATGTGCAACATCCAAAGCATCCATAGAAAATTTGTGCACATCCTCTTAACAATTACTGCTCCAGATAATGCAATGGACTAGCAATCAGAAGATACAGAAAATGCTTCCATAGCATCTTGGATGTCTTTAGTTTCCAGCATAACTTTAACTCACAACAGGTGGGTTTTGGCATCCTCAATGCTTTAATTGAAACCACTTCTAGAAAGCCAACAAACATGCAAAAGCAAATTCCCACAAATCATATAACCATGAATAAAAATCTGTAGCACACCAGGTCCTATTTGCATCAATGTATGGTGTGGGAAGAGATGAAAATGTAGGGGCAAAGACTTTCTAAGACATTCCAACTCCAAAGCCATTCAGACTGTTGTAAGTATACTGCTTTAAGCATTCACATAAGAAAGAATTCCTATGAAGAATATGTTTCTGTACTTTCATTTTCTAATCAGTGTATTGCTGTGAAAAATGTCTCTTATAACTATAATTTATGGAAAAAATATTTTATGAGCAAAACTTCTGCATGTGTATGAAAGGAAATCCCTATTTTTCACAATGTTGGGCCACTATCCAAAAAATAATTCTCCTTACTTCATTATCAAGGAAAAGCAATTCCACTGAATTTTCAAAGCATGGATGCTAACATTGCTAAACAGACCATGGCATAATGCCGGCATTGTGCATGCTTACTGTCAAATCAACTGGGAATTCCTTTCATGGAGTGTCATGACCTGAAGTAACCCAAGGCAGCCTTTACCCTCAGTTGCCACCCATTGACCTCTCTGCCAGCCAGTGTCTCTGAAGGCCCTCTATTTACTTCTCTACAATGCTGAGGGAAGGGGGAAATGTTGTATTTTTACACCCTGCCAGTGCAGGTCCAGATGCCTTCAATAATTTGCCTTCTAGCTTCTGCTATTATTGAGGAAAGCATGGCAACTGGTATGGATCACAGTTAGCTATCAAACTTGCACAGCAGTTCTTTTCTTCAATTGGTACAGGACAAAAAGATATGGAAGTATCACAGGAACACCTCTTTCCAGGATTAAGTGATCAAACTTTGCATATTTCTTGTATTTTCATTCTTGAGGTTATTAGATTCACACGGAAAAGATGTGGGTCTTCATTCCAGCCTTGGATACTTCAATTCATACTTTAGTCTCTTCCATTACTGTGTCATTACCCACAAGAGTTGACTTGTGTGGTTCCTGCAGTCATAAGATTTAGGAGGAGGAGGTACCTCAAGGGTCAATGAGTCTGGTCTCTTGCAATTGGCTAGAGGTAAGCTAACACTTACCTCTAGCCAATACCTGCCATTACATCCTCAAACAGCAACCTACGTGAAAGCTGTATATTATAAGTTTTTGAATTCCAGTAGGTCCACAGAGGATGAAAATAATTTGCCTAGCCAGTAGGTCCACCAATTTTCTTCAAACAAGTATTTTATGATTATACAGAAAAACAAGAGAAGTGGATTTACTGGATCGTAACTCAGTTCCACCTAAATCACTACTATCTCCTAAAAGCACAACATCAGCACCCATCAGGCAGTGGCTGAGGACCCAGCAGCCCCATCAAACCAGTGCTGGTGCTCATCTAAATACTGGCCACTCTGAGTCAATATTTAATGTTTTCTATAATACCAAACAAACATAAGAAAAGCCATCCTGGATCAAACCAGTGGTCCATGCAGTCCAGCAGTCCATTCACATGGTGGCAAACCAGAAGCCCACAGAATCCCACAGACTAGATGGGTACAAGAGTTCCTCCAGCCCAGGCTCCTCAGCAGCCAGTGTATGCAGGCATACCACCTCTGCGAACAGAGGTAGCACATAGCTGATGAGGCTAGTAGCTGCTGATAGCCTTCTCCTCTATGAATCTGTCCAATATCCTTTAAGGTCATCCAAACTGGTGACCATCACTACTTCCTGTGGCAGTGAATTCTGTAATTTAATTGTATGCTGTGTGAAGAGGAGTCATTTTATTTGTCTTGAATCTCCTACCAATCAACCTTATGGGATGACCCTGGGTTCTTGTATTATCGGGTGGGAATAAAAATGTCACTCTCCACTTTCTCCCCATGATGCATAATTTTAAACACCTCTATCACCTCTCCCCTTACATGCTTCCCCCTCCCCCGAATTAAATCCTCATTGTTATAAGTGTTCATCACAGGTGAGTTGTTCCAACAATTTCATTATATTAGGTGCCTTGCGCTGCAGTTTTTTCAACTCAATAATGTCCTTTCTCAGGTGTGAGAACCAGAACTACACACAATATTCTAAGTGCAGAAGTGTAAAATATTTGTATAAAAAGAGTACAACCTTGGCAGTTTTATTTTCCATTCCTTTCCTAATTATGCCTAACATACAGTTTGCCTTTTTCACAGCAATTGTGTACTGGGTTGACATTTTCACTGAGTTCTCCACCACAATGCCAAGATCCCTTTCTTGACTAGACACTGCTAGCTCAGATCCCATCGGTCTATATTTGAAGCTGGGAATTTTTACTCAAGCATGCATTCCTTTACACTTGCTTACACGGGACTGCATTTGCCATTTGATGCACATTCTCCCCCTTGGAGCTCCTCAGAACCTGTGTTGGTATTAACCACCTGGAATAATGTGGTGTCATCAGCAAACTTGGCCATTTCACTGCTTCAGCTACCCTCAGCATGGAGTCAGCTCTCATTTTCTCTCTCATCAATAGGCACTTTCTGATGCTACAAAGGGAGTGCTAAGAAAACAGTGGAAAGGACTGTTGTTATTATCTCTGTGGTCTGACAAGACAAGGTTAGAGACACACTAAACTCTTGGCCCTCCACTGTTTTTATTCCATTACTGTATATTTGTCTGTTCCATAACCACATAATTAAGGAAAACATCCAATCTAGTGAACAAAATAAATGAATTTATCTCACAATGTTTATAAAGAAAAGCTGTGTAAATTATAGGGAATGTCAGTCGGGGACAAACACTCTGGTAGTTTGAGATAAGGAGACTTAAAATGTTCCCCACATTCTAAAAACTGCTTTTAGAAAGCCGAGGTGGAGATCCTACACCTCTTTACACATGTCCCAGTTCCACTAAAATAAAAGCAATGTATGCTTCTATTGCATCCTTTTAAACTAACATGGAGCAGCTTTCAATCCAAATGTTAGGCAAAGGCAATCTGGTTGCTGAACTTGCAGTAATTTGGATACCAGTGGTCAGGACTTGATTATATTCATTGTGGAAAGAAATCTGTTCCACGACTAGCAATTCTTTTATAATTATAGATGGGCTCAGAAAGTCCAATTTTCTCCAAGGCTGACAACAGTTATGATGTGACTGAACTGCAAACCATAGAAGGGGGAACTAGGAACAGCTGGGAATTGTTGAAGTGAGGGTGTAACTCAAGGGCCAAAAG